ACCTAAAACCATAAAAACCCTAGAAGAAAACCTAGGCAATACCATTCAGGACATAGGCATGGGCAAGGACTTCATGACTAAAACACCAAAAGCAATGGCAACAAAAGCCAAAATTGACAAATGGGATCTCATTAAACTAAAGAGCTTCTGCACAGCAAAAGAAACTACCATCAGAGTGAACAGGCAACCTACAGAATGGGAGAAAATGTTTGCAATCTACCCATCTGACAAAGGGTTAATATCCAGAATCTACAAAGAACTCAAACAAATTTATAAGAAAAAAATCAAACAATTCAATCAAAAAGTGGGTGAAGGATATGAACAGACACTTCTCAAAAGAAAACATTTATGCAGCCAACAGACACATGCAAAAACGCCCATCATCACTGGCCATCAGAGAAATGCAAATCAAAACCACAATGAGATACCATCTCACACTAGTTAGAATGGTGATCATTAAAAAGTCAGGAAACAACGGATGTTGGAGAGGATGTGTAGAAATAGGAATACTCTTACACTGTTGATGGGAGTGTAAACTAGTTCAACCATTGTGGAAGACAGTGTGGCGATTCCTCAAGGATCTATAACTAGAAATATCATTTGATTCAGCCATCCCACTACTCGGTATATACCCGAAAGATTATAAATCAAGCTGCTATAAAAACACATGTATGTTTATTGCAGCACTATTCACAATAGCAAAGACTTGGAACCAACCCAAATGTCCATCAGTGACAGACTGGATTAAGGAAATGTGGCACATATACACCATGGAATACTATGCAGCCATAACAAAGGATGAGTTCATGTCCTTTGTAGGGACGTGGATGAAGCTGGAAACCATCATTCTGAGCAAACTATCACAAGGACAGAAAACCAAACACCGAATGTTCTCACTCATAGGTGGGAATTGAACAATGAGAACACTTGGACACAGGGTGGGGGAATATCACACACCCAGGCCTGTCGGGGGGTGGGGGGAGGGAGGAGGGATAGCATTAGGAGGAATACCTAATGTAAATGACGAGTCAATGGGTGCAGCACACCAACATGGCACATGTATACATATGTAACAAACCTGCACATTGTGCACATGTACCCTAGAACTTTATAATAATAAAAAAAATTAAAAAAAAGAAAGCATTTTAAAAAACTACTTCCCAATAAATCACTTACAAACAAAAAAAAAGAAAACTAAGTGTATGCTATAGACAACACAACACAATGGGCCATGACCCAGCCAGGAGATGCCAACCAGCGAAGTTGGACAGATAGATGCCCAGAGCAGAGCCCAGGATGCCCAGAAGAAATTGCTGAAAACTAAGGCTTAGGACAGACTAGAACCCAGAAAACAAAGGAACCCCAGTCTTGGTCATGGCTCATGGCACCACTCCTTTCTATCAATGCCCTGGAAGAAGCTCATGCACCCCAGTGGGAGCCCTCATGCTGTTCTTGGGGACTTTCATAGGACCGTGCCCTGCCTGGAGCTGGAAGTCTCTGCAGTGGAGATCCTTCCATATTTTGTTCTTCATCTTCTGAATGCCTTCAAGGTTTTTCAATTGGAAAAATTCTATCTGCATAATCAACAATGTGCTAAAGAACTCTACTTTTAGATCTTCTCAGAGTTCATAGTTCTTTGTACATGAAGATTAAAGCATTCTTCCGTATTCTCCACCTGTGAAATAGATTTGAGGTTGGTGGAGTCAGGATTTGAAACACACACAGGTGGGCGGGGGCATGAAAGGGACTGGGACCCAGATCAGAGCTGGAGGCTGAACTCCAGGGAGCCTTTGAATAGCTATGGATATCACCAGGGTGGGAAGGAGCAGTGGTCCACTGTCCTGGGGTTCTCTTGAAACTGAGCTTGGCCTCCCTGCTGAGAGCAGAAAACAACCGTCAACAAATGTTCCTTCAATGGTGTAAAGTTTACATTCACAGGATGGAGGTGGAAATTAAATTTAGTGGGCCATGAGGAAGACCCCCAGCCCTTTGCCTTTTGAATTGACAATCATGGCATTTCAGGGCATGAGCTCCAGGTCAGGCATTCTCAGACAGCTGCATAATTCTGCCAATGTGGGGCCCGCCCACCTCAGAAATTCACATAGATTGGATCCAGCAAAACCAAATATTCAGCAAAACTTCAAGATCTAGCAACACTGAAGGCTAAAGTACATCACCGGTGCATACTTGGCCCAAGGAGGCTATTCTCTCACAAACTCTTATCCGTCTCAGGGCCTCCACATCTGAGACTCACTCCTTCCTGAAGGTATCCCAGGAGAAAGATTTATGCATCCTCATAGCTTCAACCTGCAATGTGTCAGGCACAGAAAAATGGTTGTCTTCAGAAAGAGAGAAAAAAACATGCAGTAGCAATCACCCTTTGGACTTTGAAACTTTTCTGTCATCTTAGATGTTAGAAACTAAAACCCAGAAACTTGGTGTTGGCATTAATTTGGTCTAGCTATGAAGACTTTTTTTCACACAGTGACAGTTCTGAATTTGAATATAAAGGAGCTTAGGTGCTACAATCCGAATGGAACATGGGAATAAAACTGTCTTTGTCTTGTACTTCTTGTTACATTAATTAAATACCAATTATCAGTATAAGAAAATGGCAACAAATTGTGAAAGTGGAATTGTAAAGTGTTTTTGTGATTTGGGTATGGAGCAGGCTTCCCATGTGACCATTCTCACTTCCTTTTTTTTCTTTTTTTTTTTTGAGATGGAGTCTCGCTCTGTCGCGCAGGTTAGAGTGCAGTGGCATGATCTCGGCTCACTGCAAGCTCTGCCTCCCGGGTTCACGCCATTCTCCTGCCTCAGCCTCCCGAGTAGCTGGGACTACAAGAGCCTGCCAGCACTTTGGGAGGCCAAGGCCGGCCGATCACCTGAGGTCAGGAGTTCGAGACCAGCCTGACCAACATGGAGAAACCCCGTCTCTCCTAAAAATACAAAAATAGCCAGACATGGTGGCGCGCGTCTGTAGTCCCAGCTACTCAGGAGGCTGAGACAGGAGAATTGCTTGAACCCGGGGAGGGGGTGGGGCGGAGGTTGCAGCCAGCCGAGATCTCGCCACTGCACTCCAGCCTGGGCAACAAGAGCAAAAGTCTCTATCAAAAAAAAGAAAAAAGAAAAAAAAGAAAGGCGGCAGGTTGGAATTTAGAAAAAAATAACATTTTAAAAATAGAAATGTAAAGGCACATGGAAGGAGAGAAATTGAACAACAGGAAATGGATACCATGCATTTCTGCAATAATAACTGTTGAAAATTAGTGTGTCAATTGTAGGGTTTAACGCATTAGTATAAACAAGTGGATAAACAAATATAAGTGCATATACCAGTTATGAAAACATGTCTTAAAATAAAGACTTGATTAAGACGTATCTATTAGTGTCATGCTTCTAATGGCCAGTTGTGTTTCTTTTAAAAGAAAAGTCCCTATAAATGTGGCTCCTAAATATCCAACCCTCGAAGTTGTTCCTTTGCAGGAGTCCGTTCCTTTTGGCCCTCAGCTAAACCTAGGGAGGCAGCATGGGATGGAGCTGGCAAACATCCTGCAAGTTCACGACCCATGAAGAGCTTCTATGGTACCACTAGCAGTGCTAGGACCCGGAAACTAGCGAAAATGTTTAGAAGCTGCGGGCTGGACCCACCAGTGGTGCTGCCACGGAGATCAATCCGGCTTGGACAGGTCAGCGGTGCTGCAACTGAGAAAGTTCCAGTTTGAGGAACCAGGGGTACTGAGACACAGGAAAAGGAGTTAGCCAGCTTGCTTTAGGCACACATTAAGGGAAGGGTCCCCACAGAACCTCCGGAATAAAAACTTGCACAGGGGCCTGACCTAAATATGCCCGCATATGCACTGGGGGAATGGGGGTGGAGCCACCAGGAATTTGCATCTTATACAAACAGGGAACCCAGCTCCATCAGCTTTTATATAAAAGCCTTTGTATTCAAATATGAAGGGGGCAACCGGAAACCTGCTCTCAGGACCCCTCTTTTTGCTGTGAGCTCTCCTTGTCGCTTAGTAAATTCTACTCCACTCACTCTTCGATGTCTGCGTGCCCATTTCTTCCTCATGGTGAAACAAAAACCCGAACTTAGCCGGGCGCGATGGCTCACGCCTGTAATTCCAGCACTTTGGGAGGCCGAGGTGGGTGGATTGCCTGAGGTCAGGAGTTCAAGACCAGCCTGGCCAACATGGTGAAACCCCGTCTCTACGAAAAATACAAAAATTAGCCAGCAGTGGTGGCGTGTGCCTGTAATCCCAGCTACTCAGGAAGCTGAGACAGCAGAATCACTTGAACCTGACAGGCGGAGGTTGCAGTGAGCAGAGATGGCGCCATTGCACTCCAGCCTGGGCGACAGAACGAGACTCCGTCTCAAAAAAAAAAAAAAAAAAAAAAAGGCAAAACAAACAAAAAACACAACAACCTGGACTTAGCTGAGCTGAGGAGCCAAAATCGTGCATCAAAATCAAGTGTCAACACTGAATAACCAGCGGTGTACCCTGCGGCAAACTTTATTTTTGGCGCAGTTAAGGTATTGCTAGTAAGAAACTCGTCTCTGAGAAATATCAGGGGTTGGAAGGTTGTACGGTGCTTCCACCGAGAAAGCGCCTACCCAGTGAAATGCGCCTGTGACAGAAAAACCAAGGCCAAGCCCTGCCAGCAAAGTCTCGCCCAGTTACGGTGCTGAGATAGTGAGACAGCCAGCCGGGGGAAAGTCGGGGGAAAGTAGCCGTGCTAGGACACAGGAAGCGATACCACAAAGAACTTTTGAGTCTTGTGAACGAGGAACGTTGTTTTGTTCAGCGCTACCAAGAGTGCAGCAACCGAGAAAGCACTGAGTCGCCCCTAGTGGCGAAAGTGCGAATGCGAAACCGCTGGCTCGGTATAAGAGCAGAGCTGCGGAAGAGAACCCTAGCCATCGGGCACCAGCTCGCCTTCAGTGCTCACGGGCGAAGGCAAGTTAGAAAGAACCTGAGATGTGACACTGAAAATCAGTAGAAGAAATACGCCACATTTATTCTACTGGGGAAGACAGTGGGTACGAAAAAAATACCGTAACATTTAAATTTAAAATAATTAAATTTTTAAAAGCAAATAGAAATGAAAATAAAATACACCAATAACCTTGCTCCCAAAACAAGATACACCAAAAAAAATTTTTTTTTTTGAGTATACATACAAAGAATCCTACAAAGAAATTGCAAACAGTGTCGAATGGTGCGATCCTACCATTATATTTGTTAACACTAAACCCGTGCCTCATGCGCCTATCCGAAGTTTCCTCGGATTAAGAACAGCCATGGTTAAACTGGTATTTGCGACACCAAAAATTATCTGTAGCCTACGTACCCCAACTTCTACATGAGTGAAAAATCACTAGTATAGCCAGGGCGAGAGTATTGCGAATTCTAACTTGGTATGATAAAAAATTCCAGGCACTGCTAAATTTTTTAAATTGCATTCTCCAGTACCCAGATTAATACAGGAGTTATAAACCACACGGGTGGCGATAATGGGGGTTCTTATTACGAAAGAGAAACTTGCTACTACTAAAATTATGTAGGCATGGTTAAAGTCAGAATAGTTACGGCTAGAAATCGCAAACTAGAATACATCTCAACTTGCTACGGTAAGAAATAGCTAAACTCTGACTTGGTCAGACTAAGAAATCAGGAGTTTGAGACCAGCCCAGGCAACATGGCGAAACTCCGTCTCTAGGAAAAATACTAAAAATTACCCGGGCGTGGTGGCGCGTGCCTGTGGTCCCAGCTACTCCAGAGGCTGGGGTGGGAGGATCGCTTCAGCCCGGGAGGCGGAGGTTGCAGTGATCCGAGATCGCGGCACTGCACACCATCCGGGCGACAGAGCCGGACCCCGTATCAAGAAAGAAAAAGAACCAAAGAAAAAGAAATTACCATCGCACAGTTAAGTCTGCCTTGCTAAACAATGACTTCTAGGACCAAGAAATCGCAGCCAGGGCTAGACCGGTGTTTGCCCTAAACTGGGACTTGCTTAGGCTGAGAAATCACATTTTGGCTATTGATTTGGACAAGAGGTAGCAATCGCAGGCACCGCGAAATCCAAACTTGCGAGAACCAAGAAGCCAACGACGCGCGAAACCGCAGAGGCCTGCGACAGAGACGCGAGCGGCGCCGCCGCCAGGGGACTGGGTTCTGGAGGCTAAGCCAGAACCCGTACGACGCCGCTCGCGGCGCTGTGAATAGAAGCGCCCGCGCAGCTCCTCTGCCACTTGGCTCAGGCGAGCGGCGGGCTCCCCCGCCCAGCGCCGCCGCCACCCGGGAACGCCAGACTGCGCAACTGGCTGCGACTCCAAGTCCCTCAGATCAGCTACCAGAGCGCTGCCGCCACCGAGAAAATGGAGGCACCGAGGAACAAGCTGTGCCGCCACCAAGAGAACTCGGCTCCGCGAAATGGCGGTGCCGGGGCTCTGCGAGTGACGCCAGCCGGAAGAGTTCCCAAGGACAACATCCGTTTTGGCGCAACCAACTGTGTTGTCACGGAGAAAATGACGACCCTCGGAAAAGAGAGGTTCTGCGACCGAGAAATTCGGTGCAACAAGTGCTGTGACAGAAACCCTCCCCCCAGCTCGGCGCTGTTGGCGAAAGAGCCAACAAAACGCTGGGTGCTGCCACCGTGACACCGACTTTAGGACACAGGCCTCGGATGGAGAAAGGAAGAGCACGGAGCCACCGCCTAACTTCCTAATGTCTTCAAATAGCGAAAGTGCTAACCGGAAACTGCCGGCTGGGTTTACCTATTGGTGTTTCGCGTGGGACCAGCAGATTCCAGAAACCAGAGGAACTGGAACCTAGTACACTTCGGCAATTGGGAAATGACCAACCAGGACAAATAACTGCTTCTGGCTCCATGGTGCTGCCCGTGAACATCCGCCGGCTCGGAGAAACGAGCTGCACTGTCAGTGAGAAACCGTGGGCACTGAGAAAGGAGCGGGCTGCAACTGATAACTGCCCACCCACTGCCACTAGGACGAAGTGCTGCCGGCTCTACTCCCACCCTCCGTCCTCAAATCAATCCTCTCCCGCTTAAGAAGACCTTTATTTTTCATAGCGAAGTCATACCGAGGGCCCCAGCAACCGACCCCTTGCGATGTGCATGGGAAAAGGAGGCAGTATAGGGATCGAGAATCGGGCGGATTAGGCTGGCCCTGGAAACAAAGTAAAAGCCATCCAGGTCGCCAGCCGTCTTCCACTGCAAGAAACAAACCTTCCAGTGGCTGGGCTCCGCCCTTCTCCTTGGTCAGAGCCCTCCAGACTCTTAAGGGGAAGCCGACACCTCATCCCTTTGGAATTTGAAGCTCTCAGTCCAAGACCTCAGTGGAGAGTGAAAGACACAATGCCGCCTGACCCAGGCTTCAGGCCTGCCCGGGCAGCTAGGTACCTCTCCAGGGGATGGAACTCTGTGGGAACTCCTATTTAATTCTGATGGTTAACTCTGTCAGATGGCCTTGATATATGGGAATAATCGTTGGAAGAGGGTAGAGGAAATAAGAACCGCAAGACTCTAGCACAGGACGTGTGGATTGATGGTGAGGCCTCTGTTCCCTCTCCCCTTGAAATCCTCAAAGGGCAGTTCCATTTCTATCACCTTTGACCTTTGAAATTCATCCCTGATGTCTTCTCCATCTTTGGGAAGTGCAGTGCAATTTCAAGCTCTTCATTCTTCCTTCTCCCCCATTTGTCAAATATGCTGACGCTACAAACTCCTTTTTTATAGGAAGCCTGAAACTGCCATTGAGCAGAAGGAAAACATCCCTTTCCAGAACCTTTCTCGTTTCTCTAAAAATCTGCACTTTTGGAAGTGATCCCCCAAAGAGACCTCCAGACTCTACCATGAGTGTCTCCAGCTGAATTCATCATGTCTAATCCTCACCCTAGCTTATCCTGTTCAAATCATTTCCATCTTTTTCTGGATGAACCTGGGCGGATGTCAGACCAGAGAAGAGCACAAAATGCACCAGAGGTAAGAAGACCCATTTTGGGCTCTCACTTCTCACCCACTCCCGAGATGGTCACCTCCAGTCTTCCCCCCATACCCTACCCTTTCTTCAGCTAGCCAAAACCTGCCCTGGTACTTGAGGCTTCTTCAATTGCCTTCTTTTGCAGGCAGTAGAATAAAGGAAAGAGGGCAGTGTCAATAGAAGAAAAGTTACAGTCACTCTATCTAATTGAAGATACTGTGCAGAGTCTTTGAAAAAACAAAATATCCCACCCACCATTCCTCTCTCTCCGTTTCTACCCTAGCTTCCTATTTTAGCAAAAATGCTGGGATCAGCACTTCTGGAGGGAAGGGATCGCCCTTCCAGGTTAGGAATGTGGAGAGGAGTTATGAAGCTCACTTCCCTAAAGGAGGGGGCATTCTAGTTCCGGCATTCAGATTCAGTCTGATTCCAATATGGTGTTTTTGTGGGGTGGTCAGAGAAAGGGCAAGTCAGGAACTGTATATTCCTCAGCTAGAGACTCTAAGACATTTGCATTTGGAAAATCAGGAGAGATGCTGATATTGTTTGGCTCCATGTCCCCACCCAACTCTCACCTTGAATTGTAATAATCCCCACGTGTCAAGGGTGAGACCAGGTGGAGATAACTGAATCATGGGGGGTGGTTTTCCCCATGCTGTTCTCGTGATAATGAGTGGGTCTCCAAGATTTTTTAGTTTTATAATTGGCATTTTCCTCTGCTGGCACACATTCTCCTGCGCCCCTCTGAAGAGGTGCCTTCCACCATGATTGTAAGTTTCCTGAGGCCATGCAGAGCTGTGAGTCAGTTAAACCTTCTTTCTTTATAAATTACCCAGTCTTGGATATTTCCTCATAGCAGTGCGAGAATGGACTAATACAGATGTGGTAGAGTTGGGTGCTGGGTGGCAGTGTCAGGTATATGCAGGTTCTAGGCACCAGGTCAAATCTGGAATGCAAACTATGGGACACAAACCGCAAATGATGTCCAGCCTTTAATATTTTCTTTCATTGTTTGTCAAATAGACGAAGAAACAAAGAATAAAGAAAAGCATTTTTTTTTTTTTTTTTTTTTTTTTTGAGACAGAGTCTCGCTCTGTTCCCCAGGATGGAGTGCCGTGGTATGATCTCGGCTCACTGCAACCTCTGCCTCCCCGGTTCAAGTTATTCTCCTGCCTCAGCTCCGAGAAGCTGGGATTACAGGTGCACACCATCACACCTGGCTAATTTTTGTATTTTTAGTAGAGACAGGATTTCTCCCTGTTGGCCAGGCTGGTCTCAAAGTCCTGACCTCAAGTGATCTGCCTGCTTCAGCCTCTCAAAATGCTGGAATTACAGGCACGAGTCACAGTGCCCAGCCACAAAGTATATTTTTGTAAAATTTTATCAAGATAAACCTAGCTAAACCAATATACTAATAATAACAAAACTTGGGTTATTATTCACTAAAGGAAGGTGGCACAAAATAGAAACATTTTTAAACGTTCAAAAAAAAATCCGGCTAGGTGCAGTGGCTCACGCCTGTAATCCCAGCACTTTGGAAGGCCAAGGTGGGTGGATCACGAGGTCAGGAGATCGAGACCATCCTGACTAACATAGTGAAACCCCATCTCTACCAAAAATACAAAAAATTAGCCGGGCATGGTGGTGGGCACCTGTAGTCCCAGCTACTCTGGAGGCTGAGGCAAGAGAATGGCATGAACCCGGGAGGCGGAGCTTGCAGTGAGTCAAGATCACTGCCACTGCACTCCAGCCTGGGTGATAGAGTGAGACCCCGTCTCAAAAACAAAACAAAACAAAGGTAGTCTTTACACAGAAGTGGTATGCACAGGTGAATTGTCTGGGAAGTCAGGATGTTGCACAGAAGCTATTCAAGTCATAGATTAGAAAAGCAAGAATCCACATTCATGCTTTCCAGCATAGATGAGGAAATAGTTTTTCCCCACCTTCTTAGATTCAGTGGCTGGGGAGGGAGTGCTGTGAATTCATCTGACAACAGACAGATTAACAGGAGAAAAGGCATAAAAGTTTTTTTATGTTTTATTTTTATTTTTTGAGACAGTCTCGCTCTGTCTCCCAGGTGGAGTGCACTGGCACCATCTCAGCTCACTGCAAGCTCCCACCTCCCAGGTTCACGCCATTCTCCTGCCTCAGCCTGCCGAGTAGCTTGGACTACAGGCAACTGCCACCGCACCCGGCTAATTTTTTGTATTTTTTAGCAGAGACGGGGTTTCACTGTGTTAGCCAGGATGGTCTCAATCTCCTGACCTTGTGATCCACCCGCCTCGGCCTCCCAAAGTGCTGGGATTATAGGCATGAGCCACCACGCCAGGCCAAGTTTTTAAATTTTAATCTAATGTGCATGGAGGCATCATAGAAAGAACCGAATATCCAAAAGTGTGGTGAAATTTGAGACTTTATATACCATCTTAATGATAGTGGCAGGAGGCAGACAAATCCTAGGGAGACAAGGGCGGGTCCCTGGTGAAACCCCACCTTCAAACCAAAGACAGTTTAAAGCATGAAAGCGAAGCTACAAGTCTCCAATAAATCCACGGACCAGATTAAGAATCTCTCTTCCCATTTAGTGCACTTCCCTCTGATTGATCCACACACTTCACCTAGTGCACTTTCCTCTGATTGATCCCCAGACATCACCGATTTCACATATACCTGCCCTTCCCTAATTGGTTTTTTACACAGTTGTGCCCACCTTTGAGTGGTGCCTTTGTTTTAGCCTTTTTTGCATGTGCACAAACCAATCAGCACACACTCCCCCATTCTGAGCCTATAAAAGCCCCAGACCCAGCCACATTGGGAGAGAGACCACCCAACTTCTGGTGGGGGACCACCCTTGAATCCCCTCTCCACTGAGAGCTGTTTTGTGGCTCAATAAAACTCTTCTCTGCCCTCCTCACTTTTTGATTGTCAGCGTAACCTCATTCTTCTTGAATGCAGGACAAGAACTTGGGACCCACCTAATGCGGGTACAAAGAAGGCTGTAACATGGGAAGAAGCTGTTGGGCCAAGCCAGCCCTGGAGCTGTAGGCCAGAGCGAGACCACAGGACTGACAGAGCTGTTAACACGTTGACATATTTCGGGCTGCAGAAGGCAGGACTGAAAGCTATTCACATGTTGTAACACCGACTCTGGGGCTTTGGAGTCACGGGCATCCCTGTTTGGGTGCCATCACGTTCCCCTCATCTGGATGCCAGAGTCCACCATAGGAGTCACTTGCAACATGCCTGGTCTAGCCACAAGTCCCACACAGAGCCTGCTCCTGTGCTGGTGCTTGGAGCAACCAGCGGAACCCCACACTCACTAGCTCACACACCCCTCCTGCCAGGGGTTGAGTGCACGGTTGCAGTGGCTACAGGATCTGCACCAGAGGGCATGCCAGGCACAGCCCAGCAAGCCAGTAGACAGGGCATCTCCTGTGGTTAGCCTGGGCTCCAGCAAGGCCTGGGTAGGGCATCACCAACCAGAGGCCTCTGGCTGGCAACGTGGTTGAGAAAAATCCTGTGTCATTAAGGAGATGGGGCAGGGCAGAGGAGCACTTAAGGAAATATGAATTTTTTTTTTTTTCTTTTTTTTGAGACGGAGTCTTGCTCTGTCGCCCAGGCTAGAGTGCAGTGGTGCGATCTCGGCTCACTGCAAGCTCTGCCTCCTGGGTTGACGCCATTCTCCTGCCTCAGCCTCCCCAGTAGCTGGAAGTACAGGTGCCCGCCACCACACCCGGCTAATTTTTTTGTATTTTTAATAGAGACAGGGTTTCACCATGTTAGCCAGGATGGTCTCAATCTCCTGACCTTGTGATCCACCCACCTCAGCCTCCCAAAGTGCTGGGATTACAGGCGTGAGCCACCATGCCAGCCACAAATGATTTTTTAGAAGATAAATGGTCCTTTGGAAGAACAGATAATAGATATGACAGTCTTTAGAGGATGTCTTTTTGTGTAGGGTGGGTGTAATCACCCAACGGTTTCATCTTGCCCATTGTCCGCAAAAGCCAATGCACTGAGAGCAGCAGCTTTTTGCAGCAAAGAAAGAATTTAATAATTGCAAGGCTGGCCAGTGGAAGAACAGGAGTTCATTCTCAAATCCATCTCTCTGAGAATTCTTAAGACAGGATTTTTTAA